TCTATCTATCTATCTATCTATCTATCTATCTATCTATCTATCTATCTATCTATCTGTCTGTCTGTCTGTCTGTCTGTCTGTCTGTCTGTCTGTCTACATTTATCTATCGTGATCGATCGACCGAACTACCTATCTATTCATCGATCTATGTTTCTATCATCCTATTTAATTATCTTCCACATACATCAACACTCTATTTCTATTTAATTGTGTATTGGTTTAGTGTACTCATAGATTAAATAAGAGCGAGAGTGGAGTAAATTCCGTACTTATGCCAAAATGTCTTATCGAATTTCCATCTAAAGAACACGTCTAGTCTATCTATAGCAACAGCAATTATATACAGGGGGTTAATCTACTAGTTTTGGCCACTTTTTGTGACATGATGGGTCAACATTCAAATATTTGGGATAAGGTTTGGACCTGTTGGCTAGACAGCTTGATAATACGCTTCAGGCCTCAGGCTTTCACCGATTTTTTGTGACATGGGAGAAAATGGGTTTTTTTTCAGCATTGATAAGAGTTTCACACGGACCAACGCAATTACATTTTGAATTAAATAGAATCAAAGATCATTCTAAGTCTGAAAGGTTCATTTTATTTTCAACAAACTACATTCATCTTTAAAAAAAAAGATAATAAAGAGAAAATATTCAAGGGGTAACATGATGGGTGCTGTCTGGGTAGGAATGTTCCTGGACGCAGGGTCGAAGGCTGACTTGTTTGACAGGGTAATCAAAAGTGAGATGGGAACCAGAGAGGGCCTGGAGATATCACACTCACACAAGTCACAAGAATTTTACTGGCACTGGAGGCGGCAACTCTGAGTTGTGAATGAAAACAAATCCTGAATTCATTTTGTATGCATATTCAACCGTTAAAATAATCGGGAAAGTATTTCATTAAATATTTATTCTAACTAACCTTAAAATCAACTTTAGATTTGAACACACGAACACCAAGGTAAGAAGCAGAGATGTTAGTACTAGGCCTACAATGGCATGTTATACCAGACAGCCGAAACACTTTGGTAGAGCATGCCAATTATTAATTTTTTATTTCACATTTGGATGTTTTTGTCTAGCTTATCGCGGGCAGGACCCGGTGTCATAATCGAGGTCACGATGTGATTATAGGACGTTAAAGAGTCGAGGGAAAAGAAATATGCACATGCAGCAGTCAAGATATTATTAGGAGTTAGTTCCCCTCACATCTGTGAGGTAGACTCGACCAGTGTAATAGTTAGCTTAGATAATCAGCGGGTGTGGTTGATTATAACTGTGGCTCGAAAGGGGTGAACCAGGGTATATGCGACAATGAAACTGTTTTGACTGCTATACACATGTTCCCTTCAACTCTATTGGTAGACACTCTTCCAGCCTCACTTTAAGTTTACTTAATCAAAGCTTGTGACTGCTTATGGAATGGCCCGATAGGGGCGAACAGGCTATTTCTGTGGTAATGAAACGGTTTTGAAGGTTAGGCATAGTCTATTGTTCATTAGTGATTATGAACGTCTCTTTACATTTAATTTATGAGGTTAACGTCTATGGGTGAATTTGTCTGCGACAATGTTTCAAAAATTAGGAAGGGAAGCAGTTATTATTTGATTATTTAGACGCTTCTCCTCTGCCTGGACGAATAATGCACACACAAATCGGGGGGAAGATGTTTCACAAAATGTATTCAAAATATCTTTTGAGTAAATTGTGAACTGACATTTAGTCTTAACTACAAACTAGTAGAGCAATATAGGGACAGCACAATGAGAAAATAACTATTTCTACTAGAAATGACACCGGACAGACAAACGATGCATAAAAAATTCCCTGGAAGAATGGTTTT